AAAAAATAGAGAGGACAATCAGTGGAACAGACTAGGTATTATACAACATACTAATTTGTGGCCTAGTGTTAGGTAAGCCCAAAGACTTCAGCTACTGAAGTAAGGACTCACTCATTGACAAAAACTGCTGAAAAACTGGACAGCAGTGTGGGAAAAAAATAGGTTTGGATCAACACCTCACACCTTATCACATACCATGATAATCTCCAAAAGGATAAATAACTTCAATATGAAAGGTCGCATTATAAAAAAAAGAGAAACAAGGAAGAAATTATTTTTAATATATGTGAGAGAGGATTCTGTTGTCAAAGATTAAGAGCCAGAACAGTATTCCTGCCAAGATAAAAAAGCCAATCCACTGTTTTAGCACAGGCATAAGTACCAGTAATTGCTGTGAGCAGAACCAATATGTATGTCTGTATGTGTACACATAGACACATATGTACATAATATATAAATACACATATATAAAAATGTGTGTATACACAAACACATATATATGTATATATATATATATTTTCATTTAGAGAAAAGACCTTTAAATTTTTTTAGATTGTTATGCTTGAATGGCTCATTGAGACTACAAAGCACTACATTTCAATTTAATTCCATTTTAATTTAATTCAAGAAATAAATTTAATAAATTGCATGGAAATTCAAATGATTACAATTCACCAAGCATTTATTAAGTACCTACAATGTACAAAGTAACTGTTCTAGGTGCTAGAGACAGAAAAAACAATCTCTAGGAAGTTACTTTTCCCTGAGGATACACAACTGATTCTCTAAGTCATCCAAATTACTGTGATTCATATTGGAAATATCCTATATCTATCTGTGAATATGTTATGTCTGCAGTGCTCCCCTCCCCCCAGGAGAAGGTAAAGTAGAGGCTTCCCTTTTTCTATTTATACCCCTAGGACCTAGCACAACTGACACATTACCAGTGTTCAATAAATACTTATCAAATAAGTGATATACACACACACACGCACGTATGTATATATAAATGTACATACAATATATATGTTATAAATAAGTATTAAAGTAAGAATTAAAAATTATTTGGGATGGGAGGGGACAGCACTAAAAACTGGTAGAATTGAGGCCTCATAGAAGACAGAACTCAAGCTAAGCTTTGAAGGGAATTGAACTAGGGATTCCAAGAGCCAGCGGTGAGGAAGGAAGGCATCACAGCAAGGGAAAATAAAACCCAAACTATGTAAAGACAGGGCAGGGAATGGAATATCATTAAAGGGAGCATCAAATAAGCCAGTTTGTATGAAACATAGCATGTGAGAGAACATAATAGGAAATGTCTCACAGATAAGCTGGAGCCAAAACGTAAGGGGCCAGTCAGAGGAGTTTGTATTTTATTCTAATGACAATAACAGGCAACCAATGTTTTTAAGCAGGGGAGAAAAAAACAGTTACATTTTGAATCTTGTGAGTTGAGCTAATAATAGGACATTTGGATTGAAACGTCCAGCAGGTAGCTGGTACCAGGCAGGCAGGTGGTGATGTAGTACATGTGTCCCCAGCACCAACTACAATAACTTACTACTCAGTGATTAATAGAGGTTTTTGGAATTGAAGAGTTGATTTTAGTTTGAAGGACTTTCAGGACAAAGTTACCCAGCTGCATTTGGCTCCATCCTTTAAAAAAAAAAAAAGATCATCAGTATGGCCTTAGTAGCACACCTTTCTATTGTATCCAATGAATCCTACCAGAAAATGTTATAACAACTTTGAGAATAAAGATGAACAATCAATGTTATGGGGAATACACATAATGAAGAACTCTAGAACTAATATTTTATTCTTAACTCTATCACTTCTTTCTTTTTCATTTTAATATTTCATTTGTTTTAATCTGCCAAAATCTACTTTCTTACCCTCCCACCCTTCCCTTACTTCTCCCTGCTGAGCACCAAAGGTCTAAGCCACAACGCTGCTGGTGGCTTCTGGCTCTCAAACTTCCTTTCTCCCTATGTTCAGGGCCCTCCTCCCCAGGATGTCATCAGTATGCAGGTCCCCTTTTCAGTCTACTCTGTATCTGTGACCTAGAACTGGACAGTGGGTGACAAAACTTCTAGTTCACCTCTGTCCTTGATGAAGTGTCATAGTATAAGTCCGGTGTAGATCTGGGACCTCCTCTTGTCCTAATACCGTTTCTCCCTAGGTGCTGGAGTAATGTATGCAAAGCAGCTGTTCCTGGCATCGTCTAGCCCAACCTGAATCCCAGCACCTGTAGACATCTCTGTCTCTCTACGCTGAGTGGGGCTAGTCATATGATCCATTTTGATTTTTTCAGGATTTCCCCATTAGGATTCCATCTGGTGCATTTCCTAGATCTCTTTGGAGTTTCATGGAAAGGAGCTCAGCTGTACTACCACTTCTTTCTCTGTGCAAGTCACTATATCTCTTGGGTATAATTTTGCCCTTTCTAAAAATGAGAATAAAGATGATTGTTTCCTAATATACCTTACAAAGATGCTGTAAAAGCTAAGGCCAAAAGCAAGCTTTCCTAAATGCTAATAATAGCAATAAAACAAGAGAAAGAAATTAAAGATGTAATGGTAAACAAAGAGGAGATAAAGCTATCTCTATTTGCTGATGACATGGTGCTTTACTTAGACAATCCTAGGGAATCATCAAAGATACTAACTGAAAAAAAAAACAGCTTCAGGAATGCTGCAGGCTTAAAAATAAACCTATAAAAAAGCAACATTTCTTTATAATACTTTACAAAATATTTAAAACTATCACTGAATTTCATTCTCTTAGATTCTATGTCAGTTAGCCAACTTGTGTGACTTTGAGCAAGTCACCTGACACCTTTTGGTCTCTGTCTCCCCATCTGTAAAATGAGGGGATTGAAGCTAATTGTCCCTAAAGGCCTTTCCAGCTTTAAATCCTATGATCCAAAAAAGTCTATGACTTATGATCTCCAAACTGACAGGTGATAAATAGCCTAAGAGACACATTGTCATGCAAAGGCACTTTTAGTTAAAAAACAAAAACAAAAACAAAAAAAAACCAAACAAACAAAAAAAACCCCATTTTTTTTGTTTGTTTTTGGTGAGGCATTTGGGATTAAGTGACTTGCTCAGAGTCACACAGCTAGTGAGTGTTATGCGTCTGAGGCCAGATTTGAACTCAGGCCCTCCTGACTCCAGGGCCGGTGCTCTATTCACTGAGCCACCTAGCTGCCCCCACTCCCATTTCTTTACAAAGGGCCTGAGTACCCCTAAGAGGGAGACAGGGTTATTATAATCCCCATTTTTACAATAAGGGAATTGTAGCTCAGAGATTAAGTAAATTGTCAAAAAGCTAGGCCATGTTTTCTGACTCTCAAGGCCAATGTACTATAACACCACACTGATTCTCACATTTATTCTCAAATACAGCCAGACCATAGCACAGCATAAGTCCTAAACTTTAAGACTTAAAAACCACTCAGAAGAAATAAGCCAGAAATGCTTTAAAGGGCAGAAAGGGTTTTTATTCTTTTGAAACCTAAATATGATTATTTTAAAAATTTGAACTCTTTTTTCTTAAAATGTAATTTTTTAATTCAGTGTTGCTTAAAGTAAGCAGGCCATTTATTGGGGCATTGAGGGGTTTGACACACATATTTTTGCCGTAATGGTTATTTGACCTGTTTGTATGATTGTAGTAAGATTTAGATCTGGAAGCAATTATAGAAGTGACTGTCTCACCTGTGCCTCCAAAAAGCAGCAGCATGTGCAGCAGCCACATGGTAAAACCATCTCAGCAGATGGGACAAATCAGGTTGAGAGTAACTGACAGGCCTCAAACCCGTCGGTGAGTTAGGGATGTCTATCCTAAGCACGTGAAGACTTCCCCTGAATGGGCGGATGAGGAGAGTTTGTTCCAATGGCTATGAAGGTGGGTGAAGCAGGAGCTGTGAAGTGCTTAGAGCTTGGTCAGACATTGAAGACGTCAAGGTTATCCATTTGTATCCGGGGGCCATTGCCAGATGTCCTGACTTTTGTCCTGCCACTGGACTTTGATGATGCTGGAAGAGAGGGTGAGGCTAACAACTTTGTGCAACTCTGCCTCGCTTTAATGTAATTCACACACAAGATATCATCCCATGATGTCACTGGTCCTCTTCAAAACGAAGGACAAGCAACTTCTATTACAGCCTCCCCTGCTTCTCTTTACAACTGAGGAAACTGAGGTCCAAGAGATTACATAGGTAGCAAGCACAAGAGTCTGGATTTGAAATCAGGTCATATGATTTCATCCATTCACCCATCTAGGGCCCCATCCACTACACCACAGCTGCCTCTCATAGACATTTTTGTTAACAGTCAAGTTAGAGTAATAAGTTCTTTTCCATACAGTCCATCCCTTTCTCAAGTAGACACACTGGAAAAGTACTCCTAAATAAAGTTAATTGAGAAAGGATTAGACTAAGCAGCTTGGTTAAGAGTCTGTGCTGACAGCATCACTTAATGCTGTATTCAGGTTGTGAAGCTTATTGAAAGCTAAGTCTTATTCAGGAAGCTGCAGCAGGATGTAAAGGACACTGGATCTAAAGTTAGAAGCCATTGGTTCAAATTATGGCTTACTACTTACTACCTGGATGGTCCCGAGCAAATCATTTAGATGCCCTGTACTTAAATATTCTGAGCTGTAAAATGAGGAAAATGATACCTAAACTATCCGTTGCATGGGGCTACTGTAAGGACCAGAGTGGATAATGGATGTAACACCTTGTAACACCTAAGGCACTAGAACAATATCAGATAATCATAATAATGAAAGCTGTATCTTCAGTAACCAGCCCTGTGCCTTGATTAGTATTTGTTTTTGTTGCCATTTCCCTGCTACTTTTTAGTTGTCAAACATCCCTGTTTTCAACAAGATTTAATTATGAAACTGCAAAACATAAAACGTCTGAAAATAAAAATGTATTGGAAAATTTTTATTCATCATTCAACACAACATATATTAAAATTCTGCCCAAAACCACAATATAATGTTTTCAGTAGAAATAAACATCAATTTCATTAATACAATAGAATATCCAGACTTTATAACAAAATGAAATAATTAGTAAATAAACAATGAATTCTGTACATGGTTAAAAACCCTACTTCATTCTAAATATATACATGTGTGTGTCTGTATTTAAACATTTCACTTTTTATCTAGTTCTAATAGGGAAATATTGGGTCACTTACATGACAAAAGGTAAGTATTTCACTGCATGGCTAGAACTGTTATCTTTTGGTTGTGAGGCTGTCAGAAAAGAAAATATAATTAAATATTAACCAGCCTCTGAATTAGTTATATGGAGAGTCTAAAGCCCCCCCCCCTTTTTTAAGGTAAGACTGTAAATTCTTTCATGTTAGAAATGACAAAACTTTTTACTACTCATGAAAGCAGTTACAGAACTAGTTATCAACTGGGATAACTTGATCAATTTACATTGCACAAAGAGAGGATAATCTTAGCAAAAACTCTGGAAAAAAAGATATGACCAAAGCAAAAATGGGCCACCTCTGAAAACCCATGCTTTCTACTTGGGGCTGGTCCCTTGCCAGAAGCATTACCAACTGAATTACTGATTCTGACTTAGGAAAATACTATTAAATTGGGATTTCAGTCTCGTGTTGTAGTCTGACTGTCCCTTAGTTTATCTCGATAAAATTGGATGGATTAGGGAGGGGGAGAAAGCCAAGGGGGAAATCTTCCTCTCTTTCCTCTTCTCCCTCTCCCACTTCTTCTTTTTCTTTTCCTCTCTGCTTCTTATAAACCTATGTACCTACCTGCCAATTATTTGTGAGGAAGGCAAGGGTGAGGGCATGAAGCAAATGTAAGGAATGTAAAAACTGGTTTGAGGATACAAGTTGGAACTAATACAATCAATTTTCAACTACTGACACTAATAGAATTAGCAGAGATGTTGGACTTAAAAACCAATATCACCAACAAAAAAGTCTAGATAATTAAACAACTTAGGTAAAGAACAACTCTTCCATCCAAATCTCCTATTATTTCTGGTTTTAGCTAAGTATGGGTTTAAGCCACTTAGCAACTTAGTGTGGCTAAGTATGATCTCGTAGATCAGGAGAGTTAGCTTCAGCAATATGATGGATAGAGTGAGACATCCTGGGAACAGAAGAAGAGTTGTCAGGTCATTGTGGGGAAACACAATGAATGGGGGAAAACTGGGACCTGAACATCTAGATGACTGGCATAAAAGTGACAGGCTCCTCCTGGAAGATCAGTAAAGAACAGACAATATGCATAATTTATGACTAGATAAAAAAGAAAACATCTAAAAATGATGAAATATAATCAGAAACTAGAGCTTTTAACTGAAAGCTAGAAAACTACTAAACTAAGAGATGGAGGAGAAAGGGACTGATTAACTAGTACATGAATCCACTTTCATTCAATTTTAACTGAACTGTACTCCAAAATTGTAAGAAACAGTCACAGACAAATGGAAGTGTACTTAAAAATTAAAGGTGTTTTTGAGGATTATCAGCACTGGATTGATCATAGTTTTTAAAAATATAAATAACAGTTCTTATGTTTCCTTCATTTAGAAAATTAGACACTAAACTAAGGAAACTGGACTTGGTGGATAACATGCCTATTTTCAGTCAAGGTCAGTGATCTGATCTCCTTTTTATCTTGTAGCTGAATAGTTGGAGAGTAAAGAGGGTGATATCCCTATATTATTTACACTAACCTTAGTCACCACACAACCACCTAACGTTTTAAAAACATGAAGTTGGACATCTATGAAGGTACCTAATCTACAGGGCTAGGAACAAGCTTTTGGCTTCTTTTGGTCTGAATATGTCTCATACCACATTGCTCCTGAGATGTAGCTGTCCAATGCTTGTTACTTTATAACACCTAAAAATTTTACTTCCTGATCACTATCTCTGATCCTTTAAGCTTAAAGAATAGATCTAAAGAGATGATAAGAAATAGACACCAAGTCAGCCGGCTACAGATCTGGGGTGGTTTGAAAAATACTTTTGTTCATCTGAACCTTTTTTTCCTCCTTCTATTTAAGTAAGAACATTTGACAAAAACTCAGTAATTTTTATAACATAAAATTTTTAAATTTAAGAACTTTGACAAGGAGAAATATCTTGTTTAGTAAGTTCAATGGCTTAGTATAGCTGAATAACATCATCCCATTCAGCAACAGGCCAGACCCCATTGGGCTGCACATTAGGTGGGGAGCTCTTCCAGTCCCAGGTCTTCACAGGAATCATCCAGGTCTTGCCATAGTTGGCTTCAATGTAGTTGATAGTTTCACAGGGCACACGGACCTTTATTTCTACAAATTCAGCCCAACAGAGTGTAAATTTAGGAAACAGGTACCTGTGACAAAATAGGATCAAAGGAGGAAACATTCATTTTTCATATATTAAACTTCAAGAATGGAAATCAAGTTTTTCCTGCCTGTATGCCAATTTTTTTCAATGGTTAATAGCTCAATCTACCAGTAAAAGAACCTAAATAATACTCAAGTATATTTACATCTCATGTAGACTGATTCATCTTTTCTTTCAATCTCAACTTAGGAATTCTATAATTTAGAGCAAGTCTGATTCCCAAAGTTACCCATTTTGTTTATTTCCTGAAGTGTCATGCCTAAGAGGCACTTCAAGAATTATATACTTTAGCACCTTCCTCTACCCTCAGTGCAGGGTCTATTTGCTTTTGTCTTTGTACCTCTGATATCAAATCCAGCACTATGCCGTGCAAATCATTAGCACTTAATAAATATGTGCTGAATTGAATCTAATACTTGGATAAATGGTATGTGCAGCTTCAAACTTTATAATTTCTCCCTAAATAGCTGTAGATGACCTTTTAATACAGACCAGGCAGTGTTCATTAAAGCTAAATTAACTCACCCATCTCTGGTGCGATTTCAGCAAACTATTTCATTGAAAGGGCAACTTCTAAAAATTCTTGGAGCAAGTATGTTTTTGAAAACTGCCATGGGACATGTAAGTTTATATATTTAAAAAACTGCTTAAAAGCCACATTAAAAAAATTCAGTGTAAGGTTGTGACTTCTATATCAGTTTTTGAGAAATGTTTACCTTTAATTCGATGAAAGTGATTTTTACTAATGGTATTTGAGTAGCAATAGCACAAGATTGTTCAGTTGTGTTTGACTCTTCAGGACCCCAGGAACCATGCTGTCCATGGAGTTTTTTTGGCAAAGATACTAGAGTGGTTTGCTATTTCCCTCTCTGGTGGAAAAAGGCAAATAGAGGTTAAGTGACCTGACTTTGGACACTTGTTAGCTGTGTGACCCTGGGCAAAGTCAAATTTGAACTCGGGTCTTCCTGACTCCAGGCCCAACGCTTTATCCACTGACTGCACAAGGTTAGAAGGCTTTAAAACTATGTTGGATTTTTTTCCTTTGGGCACCAGGAAAATAAAAACAGGTGTCAAAATGTAATCATATCATAGAAATGAGATACAATTAAACATTTCAGCATCTCTGCCAAAGAAAAGTTGGCTCCTAGCCAGCACCTCTCCTGATTCAAATGAACATCAAGTCAAATATGGTAACAAAAGTATTCAAGTGTTCTCAAGAAAGCAGGGAGTACTTCTTCTTGTTGGTGCATACAGCTAATGGACAAGCCCAGCTGGGGTCTGAGAACAAGAAACCACATCATACAATGGCTGCTCTGAAATAAGAGACTGCACTGAGTCACCTTTTGCCACTCCCAGTTTTGCTCTGTGCTCTCATATTAATGACATGGCTCATTTTGTTTGTCAGGAGAACATTCACCTGTCTGTCCCATCCCATCAAGATGACACTACCAAGTTGAGATGAGGCAGAATCTAAGATTCCTCATTTTCTGTGATAGCCTCCAAAGTCTCACGAACAAGTGAATGACAGAAAAAAAAATCACAGACCCAGTACAGATGGAATAAATTCAGTCTGTTGAGAAATAAGGAATTTATAAACAAAAAAATTAAATGTCAATTTTGAAAGCTGATGAACAATTTCTGAAAATAACCAAAAGAAAATCCAGCTCAAGAGTTTATTCTTTACAAAAGTAATTTTTTGATAGTTTGTTTCTCTCCAAAAAAATTCAATGACATTCAGCAAATGGAAAATCTGAACTCCCTAGCAGAGACAGAAAGGCAAACTAATCATTAAAATGGAATAACTATTGTTACCTAAAAGGTCTGATCCAATTTAATCCAACAAGCATTTATTAAGTATCTACTATACATGAGGCTTTATGCTAAGTACTCTAGATGCAAATTTTAAAAAGTCTGCCCTCAAAGAGCTCACAGTCCATTGGGTAGATACAGCATGTACATGGATAGGAGTATATAAATGCCAATTTGAGGAAGGAGAGATCACTAAAAACTAGGGGGATAAGGAAAGGCTTCCTGTAGGAGGTAGCACATGGTGTAGACCAGGGATGGGGAACCTGCAGCCACATGTGGCCCTCTAGTCCTCAAGAGTGGCCCTCTGACTGATCCAAACTTCACAGAACAAATCCCCTTAATGAAAGGATTTGTTTTATGAAACTTGGACTCAGTCAAAAGACCACACCCAAGAGATAATATGGAGGCAAATTCAATAAAACTTGCTGTTTGATTGCATATGTAGGAAAAAAGTAAAGAGTTGAGGCTGTGAACCTGGATAAATGGAAAGATAGCAGTTTCCTCAAAAGAAATAGGAAATTTTGAAAGAAGGGTGGGCTTATGGGGAAAGATAACGACTTCAGTTTTGGACACGTTGAGTTTGAGATGCCTATAGAATGTCTAGTTTGAAATGTCCAATGTATAGTTGGTGATGTTGGTTTTGAGCCCAGGAGAAAGACTAAGGGTAGATATTAAGATATGGGATTTATGTGCAGAGAGATAACTGAACCGACTGAAATTGATGAGGAGGGAGAGAAGGAATGAGAAGGAGAGAGAGGGGGGAAAGGGCGAGGGAGGGAGGGGGAGAGAGAGAGAGAGAGAGAGAGAGAAGGAGAGAGGGAAAGAGAGCGGAAGATGAGAAAAGAGCCCAGGGCAGGGCCTTTAGGGACTCCCACAGTCAAGGGGCATGATAGGGATAATGATCCAGCAAAGGAGACTGAGGAGTAAGGGGACAAGTAAGAGAAGAACCAAGAGAAAGTAGCTTCACAAAAAACCCACAGAGAAGACAATACTCAGGAGAAGTTGGTCAACAATGTCAATTATTGCAAAGAAGTAAAGAAAGATGAAGAATGAAAAAAGATCTGACAATTAAAAGGTTAATTAATTAAAGTTAATTATAGAGACAGCAGTTTCAGCTGAGCAATGAAGTAGGAAACAAGATTGCAGAGTTGAGAAGTGAGTGAAAAGTAGACAGCACACAGCTTTTTCGAGGACTTTGGCTTTGAGAGATAAAATAGATATAAGATGACAGCTTGAGGGGATGATAAGAGTCAAATGAGGGGTTTTTAAGGATGAAAGAGACCTGGGTTATATCTGCATGGAGGGGTGAACAAACCAGTCAATAGAAAAGGACTGAAATTAGAGCCATTCACTGAATCAAGGGGACAGGACTGGGGGAGAGGAGGGTAGGAAAGTGACATGGTCATATCTGCACTTGAGGAAGACTAATTTGACAGCTGAGTAGAGGATGGATTGAAGTGGGAAGAGACATGTAGCAGGGAGACCAACCAGAAAGTAAGATATTATAATAGTAAGCCACCCAGGAATGAGGTGTTGAGGAACAGCTATCCCTTCTTAAAATACCAATCCAACTATCCACGTGGGGGAAAAATGGTGGATGAAGAATTCCTATCGTCAAGGTTATATTATACAGTTGTATGGACAAGTGATATTTTATCAGCATCTTAGACAAGCACTACTGATTGAGCACAGTGTACTGGATTGCCTTTGAGAAACTGTTCAGTGCTTTTAAAATATCTCAAGCATCTCTCTGAAAGAAAAGCTTGCCTTTTTAAAACATCTATAGTACTCTGATGATGGCTGTGAGTCAAGGAATACCACAGTCTCTGAAGAATTAAAATATGGATCACCAAAAAGGTGATCAAGAGGAGCATGGTGGAAAAGAATAGGCTAGAGCATATTAGAAGGAGAAACTGCACAGGAGAAATAGTGTAAAGAATATCATTAGTGATATGTATCCAAAACGTGAATCAATCAATTCAGATTTTGGCATTCCATTTTTTTTCTCTTCTTTTTATATACTCTTCTTTGGTGTCCTCATCTATTACCACAGCTTTAATGTCAAATCAATGAAAGACTCCAAAATCTGTATATATGTCTCTAGCCTCCAACTCCTTCGTGAGACTCCAGTCCTGTATTTCCAATTGCCTATGAGAAGGGGAAGAACCATTGAGAACCCCCAAGAATGTGCCAGCCTATATAAGACTATGATGTCCACTACTATTCAAACTAATTATTGTTCTCCAAACACCCATCCCTATTACTGTCTTTCCTAGTTTGGTTAATGGCCCCACCATTCTGTATTTTTTTGTTTTGTTTTGGTTTGGTTTTTTGGTAAGGTAATCGGGGTTAAGTGACTTGCCCAGGGTCACACAGCTAGTGAGTATCATGTGTCTGAGGCCGGATTTGAACTCAGGTCCTTCTGACTCCAGGGCCAGTGCTCTATCTTCTGTGCCACCTAGCTGCCCCCAGTTGGTTTTTTTTTTTGATGGCCCCACCATTCTTCCAGACTCTAAATCTCAGTTACTTTTACTCTTTCCTCTCCTTTATTTGCCAAATAAAAATCAGCTGCCAAGTAGTGTTCATTCTATCTTCATATTAATATTTACATTTGTTCACTTCTTTCCATTCCATTGACAGTGTGACACTGTATCCATTACTTTTCATTGGGAGTATCACAATAGTCTTATAACTATCCTGCCAGTCTCTCCAATCTCTTTTCCCTCAAATCTATCCATCACTCTGTTGCCACATTAATCTTCCCAATGCAAATACCTTCAATTGCTCCCTAAAGCCCTACTAAATAAAATCTGATCTCTTAACACTGACATTCAAGGCCCTTCACAATCTGGCTTCAATCTATATTTGCAGCAATTTCTATTACATTATACCTGCTAGTAAGTTTAAGATTTGACAACAAAAGTATAAAAAGGATAAATTTGGTTTACTGCAATTAAATCTGTCCCTCAGGTACTAGATCAGGTTTAGTTAGGAGATCCATGTTATAGTCCCAGATCTACCACTGATTCGCTTTGTGATCTTGTTTTTGGCTTCAGTTTCTTCCTCTATGTGGAGTTATAACATATCAATTTTATGCATTTCATAGGATTGCTGTGAAGATCAGACACAATAATGTGTGTATACTTTGAAAAAAACATATAAAAATGCAAGGGAGTTATTAATTCTTGGGAAAACCTTTGTTTTAGGAGAAAAAGCTTCTTTATGCAACATAGCGGCAGTTTCTGCATATAACAGTATGCACGTGTAGTAAGTACATCATATGCATTCAAAGTTCTTTAGCTGTGCACCAACTTCACATGAGTAATTGAGAGACATAATGAAAAAGACCTAAGAAATGACCCATATGTTGTGTTGTAAAACACAAACATATAAACAAAGTGAAAAATATAGGACTGCTGCAGAAAAGTCAGTTTTAAAGGATACTTAATTACCAAAATGTTTTGGTTTTTTTTTTTCCAGCTTCACAGCTGGTAATACTGAAACAGAAAAAAAAGGAGGGAGTCTCCTGAGAAACCAAATCTTCAGAAAAAATCCAGCCCTGTAGTAATGGGGCATGGAAGCAGAACCCAGCAAAAGGCCCTGCTCTAGAACTCCCCACCAAGCCAAGGGACCTGAGGCAGTAGGCATCAATGTAAAAACTCTGCTCCTTCACAGGCACTGCTTACTCATGTGAACTTCTAGTTTCTGGTTCTTCCCTCTAGAGTCCCACATGATAGACTCCACCACCCAGTCTTCTCTTCTTCACAATAAATGTCCCCAGTTCCTTCAACTAATATTTACATATCATTGTCTACAGTCCCCTCACCATCTGGTCCCTCTCTTCTGGGCATGGTCTAGTTTTTCAATGTATTTCCTAAACTGTGCTGCCCAGGACCAAATCAGGTGAGGTCTGACCAGAACAGTGTAGCAGGACTATCACCTTCCTCTTCTGGACACTATGCCTCTATTAAGATCATATTAGTCTAAGATCATATTAGTTTTTTGCTGCAATGTCAGTCACACTTTTGACTCTCATTGAAACATGAGAGTCTCTATGTTTCACTCTACCTCACTCTACCCTGAGTTTATCTGAGGTTAGAAAGCTAAATGGTTTCAGTTAACACTCAGCTAGCAAGTGCCCCTATAGAGGCATGAAAATATGTGCAAAATAAACAGGTCACTTCTTAAGAGATAAGTGGCTAGAATGTAATGATTTGGCAGAACGTACAATTAAATAGTCTTAGTTTTTGTTACTACTAATGTAATAGGCTTCCATCAGCTTAACAATATAATGATGAAACTGGCTCCTGGGCACAGAAGAGAGGGTGGTTAGTGAAGAAATACCTGCTGCAAGACACAGGTCCAAAGTAGGATTCTTTATGAGAAAGAAAATCCAAATATTTCTTCACTGTCCACACTCACTTCACCAACCTCAGCTGCTCAAATAGCTTCAATGAGAATGTATCCAAAATCTAACTTTCTCAGGAATGTGCTAGAAGATACATGAGCACTGGCTCTCTCTCCAGAATCTCAGACTCATATTTTAAAAAAATAATAACAATTTTATTTCTCTTTTGTTTTTCTATTACCTTTATTTCTATGTCCCTCTTCCTCCCTATCATTCGTAACAAAAAAAGTGATTCAGAAAAGCTAACCAAAACAAAGGCTGACAGCACGCGCGCACGCACACACACACACACACACACACACATCCATAGTGTTCCAATCCCATTGTCTTCCCATATCTCCAAAGAAGAGAGGTATATTTTCTTATCTCATCTATATGAATGAGCTTGGTCCTTGTAATTGGTGTTGTTTTAGTTATTTTTCTTTCCATGTATGCTGTTGTAGTCATTGTGTACAATGTTTTCCTAGTTATGTCTTACTTCATTCTGCATCAGTTCACTTAAGTCTACCCTGCTTTTATTTGTTGTTGATCAGTCATTTTAATCGTGTCCAACTCTTTGTGACCCCATTTGGGGTTTTCTTTGCAAAGATACTAGAGTGGTTTGCTATTTCCTTCTCCAGTTGATTTTACAGATGGAAAAATTGAGGCAAACAGGGTTAAGTGTCTTATCTAGGATCATACAGCCAGTAAATGCCTGAGGCCAGATGTGAACTCATGAAGATGACTCTTTTTGATTCTAAGACCAGTGCTCTACCCACTGTGCCACCTAGCTGCCCCTTGCTTTTCTTATAGAACAGCAGTATTCTATTATAATCATGTCCCAGGATCTATCTTTCAAACAATTTTCTAGAAATTTCCACCTGGATGTATTATCCACATCTCAGATTGAAGATATCCAAAAGACATTCATCACTCCTCCAAGCAAACACACATTCATTAAATTCCAATAGCTAACTATTTAACTATTACTTACAGGATCAAATATGAAGTCCTGTTTGGCATTTAAAGCTCTTCCTAAGTTGGTCCCTTCCTTCATTTCCAGTCTTCTTAAATTTTGCTAGATTCCATGAACTCTATGATATGACACTGGCCTATTTGCTGTTCCTCACACAAGATACTCCGTCTCTCAACTGTGTATTTTTACTGGCTGTCCCTTATGTCTTGAACGTTTTCCTCTTCATTTTTGCCTCTTGGCTTTCTTCAAGGCCCAGCCTAAATTCCACCTTTCCTGGTCCCCCCAGCTGCTAATATGTTTTGCCCTCTGAGACTGCCTGCTACGTATTCTGTATTAATTCTGTATTAGCTCTATTTATAACAAATTCTGTTTAATTCTTAATTCTCTATTATTTAAATGGGGCTTTTATTATTTATTTGTTAATTATTTATTAGTTCTTAATCTCTATTTATAACAAATATTATATGTACCTAGTTATTTTCATGTTGTCTCCCCCATTAGAATGTGAACTCTTTGAGGGTAGGAACTGTTTTTGCTTTTCTCTGTATCCTCTGCACAGTGCCTGGCACATAGTGAATAAATGCTTGGTGACTGACATCCAGAAGCTAAACATGATGCTTTAAAAAGCCAGCCTCGCCTGCTTTCATGGGACCACAAGAGGAAGTCACAGCTGCTAGATGAGATAGCATTGCAGGATCAAAAGAAAGACTGCACTGTCATATGACACCCCAATAAGAATGGGGTCACCTTGAACAGCAGTGGACTCCCTAATGTCTCTCTTAGGTGTCGACAGTGGGGAGTGGGGGGAGGGGAACGGAGGTCAAAACCTGTGGACCCTTGGGAGGATGGAAAGATATCTTCTGCCTGAAACCAGTTGGACAAGGAAGCATGGGAGGCATACCTACAATGGCATATGGGACCCAGGGTGTAAGAGTTGACCTGGATGTTAGTGAGAGTATTCCTTTTCTCTTTTTCTCTGACACGTTGACTATGGGGCATGGTGAATTACTGTATTAATAAAACATTTGGGCTTACTTGATTATAATAGGAAAGAAGGTCTCCCTTCCCATACTAATTTACTTGGGAAGACAATATGTGTGAATTCAAGTTATTAATAGATGGCTATCAAGAAGATGGCTGACTCTCTTACCAGAAGAGTGAGCAGCCGTTTGGGTGTTTCATCATCTTTCTTTGCATTATGAATTCACATGAACTATTAAAAAAAATATACAATTCATACTTAAATTTTTTCCCTGATTTGGCCTGAGTGCCTCCATTCCACATGTGATCAGTCTCTTCATAGAAGAAAAAAATGTCAAGTTTCACATCATCTTTTCCAAGGAAAGATAGCTCCAAACTGTCTTCTACCTGTAAAGAAAACAGAAGATTTTTACTGGAAAGAGAATAAACAGAAAACAACTATTCCTAGACTGTTCAGTGTTACATTCCCTCTTCAAAATGAATATTAAATATAAAATTCCAGCACCCCCCTTTGGCTAAGTATGGATGTGAACAAAACAAAATACCACATTTTCCTTAACAAAGTAAAATCATTAGCAAATAAATCTTTATTTGCTAATTATCACAAATAATAAGAATAATCATTTCTATAAAACAACTTAAAACTTATGGTGCGCTCTAGCATCGATCCCACCCAACATCCTAAAAGGATCAAATATTTGATACTTGGTTGACATCGAGTAACCTGCTAGCTCTACAAGGTTAGTAACCTTTGATGTACACAGTTACTAACCTGTAAGAAAAGGAATCAGTTTAGTTTGTCATGAACTATTCTTGAAGAAGCTGTGTTGTCTTTCTGAGATCACTGGACCTGCTAAAGTTAACCCCCACTCCTACTCCACCCACCTCTTACCTGTGAGCTCTGAAATGTCTGCTCCATAGGCAACAAGCTTTTTTCACCTTAAATCTTTTCCTAGCTCCTTTCTGAAGACACAGCCTCCCCGGCCATCCTTTCCAGTACTGGCTGAGGTAGGGGAGTTGGAATATTCTTTGTTCCCCACTGCCACTTCCAGGTAGCTACCACTATCACACTCAATAACCTCTCCATCTTTGAAGTAAGTTCAATTCGTATCTACCACCCAATCAAAATTCTGAAAAAAAATTTAGGCCACTCTCTAAGAGCTCTCCCTTCTCCCCTCCTCCACATGTCATATCTTATCAAGGCAAACCTCTCTACATACACAAATGATGCCATTCAATCATGTCTTCTGTAGCAGACTGTCCCCTCTATTAGCCCCACTCTCACTTATCTTCAGTCTTTTGACTACTGGCTGCTTTCCTACTGCCTACAAGCATGCCTACATCTTCCTATCCTCAAAAAAACACTCACTCTATCTATCCTCTCCACAACTCCCCTTTCCCTCTCATCTCATTATCTCTCCTCCCTTTTGTAGCTAAATTCCTTGAGGTCATCTACAATAGGTGCCTCCATTTCTTTTCCTCTTTAATTCCTTTTTAATTCTTTTCCTCTTAATTCTCTGCAGTCTGGCTTCTGACCTCATCATTCAAACAAAACAGCTCTCTCCAAAGTTACTGTTAATTGCCAAATCTAATGGTCTTTCATCAATTCTCATCCTTCTTGACCTCTCTATAGCCTCTAACACTGTCAATTACCCTCTTCTTGATATTCTCTTCTATGTAGGTTTTCATGACACTATTCTCTACTGGTTCTCTTCCTATCTGATCTTTCCTTTTCAAGTCTTCTTTGATCGATCTTCTTCCAGGGGATGCCTGCTAATTGGGACTGTCCCACAAGGCTCTGTCCTGGGCCCTCTTCTCTTCTCCCTCTTACTCTGTGATCTCATCAGCTCTCATGGATTCAATGGCCATTTCTATGCTGATGATTCTCAAATCTACTTATCCAGCCTGAACCTCTCTGCTGATCTCCAGTCTCCCATCTCCAACTGCCTATTGCACATCTCAAGCTATATTTCTTGCAGATATCTTAAACTCACTATGCCTAAAACTGAACTGTCTTTTCCCCCAAACCCTCCCACTTTCACACTTTCCTACTACTGTCAAGGGCACCACCATCCTCCCAGTCATTCAGGCTTGCAACCTAGGTGTCAACTTACTCTCTCCCACACAACCCCTCCTCCTCCCATCCAATCTGTCGCCAACGCCTGTGAATTCTACCTTCATAACATCTCTTGGATACCCTCCCTTCTGTCCTCTGAAACTGCCACCCTGGTGCAAGTCCTCATTATTCTCATGCCTGAACTATCCCATAGCCTACTCTTGATTGGGCTGCTTATCACAAGTCTCTCCCCTCTCCAGTGCATCCTCCACTTGGCTGTCAAGGTGATCTTTCTAAAGTTCAGGTCTTACCAAATCACTCACCTACTCAATAAAGTCCAGTGGCCCTCTATTATCTCCAGGATCAAAGAAAAAAATAACACCCTCTGTTTGGTGTTCCATTTCCCAACTGGGGGCATTTTTATTGGCTGTCCCCTCATGCCCTCCTCATCTCTTCCTCTTGACTTCCTTCAAATTCCAACTAAAGTCTCACCTTCTATAGGAAGTCTTTCCTAAGCTTCTTTAATTCTAGTGACTTCCCTCTGTTGATCATTTCCAATTTATTCTGCATATAGCTAATTTGTACGTAATAGTTTGCATACTGTCTCCCCCATTACACTAAGTTCATTGACAGCAGGGACTGTCTTTCACCTTTCTTCATAGCCTCAGTGTTTAGCATAGTGCCTACCACATAGCAGGAGCTTAACAAAGGCTTACTGACTAACTAAACACATGGTCTCTGCCTAAAAACAGTTGTGAGGAACCTAAACACCATAGCTCATTAAAAATCTATGTGAAATAAAAGGTGTGAGATGAAGTTCTGAAGTTTAATGACAGAAGAATTTTTAAGAGATTTCTTCTTAAGAAACCCAGCCCTAAAAATAACCATAGTAATTAAGACGTTCCTTTGCTTTGATTTCCAAGATTTATTTTCACAGAACAACAGAATTTCAGGAAAAGGACCTTAGAGTTTATCCCAACCCATACTTCAAAACTAATCCCTTAAAGAAAACTGCCAACAAATAGTAATTCAGTTTTTGTTTTAAAATCTCCAATAAGAAAAAGCTGGCTACTTCATAAGGCATTTCATGCCATTTTTGGATTGCTCTAACTGGTAAGACATTTTTCTTCACACTGAACTTAAATTTGCCTCTTTGAAACTTTCATCCACTGATTTAATTCCATTCTTACTTTTGAAACTTGGGACATTGGCCCTTTCCCAGTCCTGCAGCACCTGTTTTTCAAAGGTCACTAATAATAGCTCAGTAATCACATGCGACAGTTCTTTTAGTATCCTAGGGAATAGTTCATCTGAACCTTATAATGAACTCATTAAAGATTACTAGTTGCTTTCCTACTCTCTCCTCAGTCAGTCAGTTTTGCTATAACTTGACATATTCGTTCCCAAAAAGCACCTCACTATGAAAAATTATGCAATAAAAACTACAGAGTTCATGGGAAAAATGAGGTCAGGGAACAACATTCAAAAACTTCCTCAGTGTTATTTAAAAAAAAAAAAAGATAGGAACCAAATAAAAACAATAGCACAGTTCCATATATGTTAAATTTTTAAGAGTACATAAATACAAAAATTATGATACCGTCAGCAATCTTGGGCTGCTTCTTGGCCTACAAAGTCTCCCCCCAGGTTGGGCTGGTCATAATTATAGGCCTGGGGAGAAGGAAGGGAGCATGGTAGAAGATGGGGAGGAAGATGTATAGATCAGCACTCTTTTGCTCACAGCTCTTACTGCAACAGAAGATGTACAATAAATATGACACTTTAACTTGAAAAACACCTTAAATTTGCTTATGGAAGTAGGTATCGAAAGGACTGCAGCCTGCATTCTTGCTGTTTCTTGAGGAAGAAATCACAAATAAGCAAACTAAAATTCATGTTATGCTTAAAATGTTCCCTAATATATCAATCAAATTGGAACAAATTCACATTTTCAAAATAAGCATTATAATTAAATTGATCATATTTTCAATTACCAACTCCCTATTAACCATCTTTGTTCTGTGTTTTCTCATCCAGAAAGCTTTCCTGATGCTTTTCTTCCAGGACCAAGCCATACTTCTGTACTCATCATCCATTCCTTGCCTTGCTTCTATCTTTTGTGCATGTTTCTTAAAATCTAAGTTGGTTGGTGAGTTTCCTGTGTGTCTACCTTAATCACCAATCACTTTAGACAATGCCCCTTTTTCTTTCTCAACAGAATTGGGTTTTGTGGTTTGGTTTGTTTCTTTAGAATCTCATTTTTGAGAGGTTCCTGTTCTTTCTGGTCTGACTTCCCCTACAGAATCTTGGTCCATGGAATCCTACCTACCCTTTCTCTGAACCTTAAAATCCCTCCAAAAATATAGGGTGCTAGAATCTAAGACTATTCTCAACTCACTCTTCTCTATCAAAAATTCTAGAACAGAGTGATCACTTCCACTCAAGGTTCCCATTATTTTTACCCTGATAACCAATTCCTCCTTTCTGGAGAAAATCAAGTCCAGAATAGAATTTCTTCTTGTTGATTTCACCTTTTGAAGGCTGGTATCATTAAAGCAAGTCAAGAGATTATTAGCTGCCTTACTTTGGGCAAAGAAGGAATTTCAGCAAGTGTCCAAATATCTGAAGGCCCCTACTACTATCAGAACTCTGTGCCAGGCTTATGATGTTTTCCAAATTCCTCCATTTTCTCTTTCTGACCAGGTGTTTTGGATTCAGAAGACCACAGTTTAAATCCTGTCTTAGACACTTACTAGTTGTGTGATCCTGGGCAAGTCACTTAACCTCAGTCTGCATCAGTTTCCTCATATGTAAATGAGATAATATTTACAAATCACTTACTGCAGTGTCTGTTACAATGCTCTCTAAATGTTAGCTATCGTTATTAGTAGTAGTAGTACACTCTGGTGGCATTGTTATTCAGTTTCTGTCTCCACTGATCTTCCCCTTAAAGTTTTCCACTATGTTTCCCCACTTTTTTTTGGTGGGGGGGGAGTGTTTCCTAATACATCTTTTTAACATGGATATATAAAATGATGCCGTGCACCTCTTTTATCTGTCCTATTTCTTTTGACTAATATACTTCTAGAACCATTTTTCCATCATGAGTATCATCTTACCAAGTGATAATAACTCTGAGGTCAAATTTCACTCAAGTTAGGATCTAATTCATCTTGCTTGTTTTTACTTTTGGTTTTTTTTTTTTGGGTAAGGAATTTGGGGTTAAGTGACTTGCCTAGGGTCACACTGCTAGTAGGTGTTGAGTGTCTGAGGCTGGATTTGAACTCAGGTCCTCTTGACTCTGAGGCCGGAGTTCTATCCACTGCGTCACCTAGTTGCCCATCTTGCTTGTTACCTATACTTTATGCATTTGTATACTGATGTCTGAAGTTATAGGTTTTATTATTACTTCCTTTCTTTGATTTTTGTCTGCTGTCAAGTTCTGGGTGCCTCAATTATTCTTCCCATACTGTAGCTTTTCCATTTAAAGCCTTTTGTATTAGGTTTCCAAGTTTTCAGGAAAATATATCTTTACCGGTCCTTATGAGGTACATTCCAAACCTATCAAAGACCCTGCTGTTCATATTAAAATATATGGCCAAAGGTCAAAAATTCAAACCCCATTCTCAGACAGTTACCTTAATTAGCTCTTCACATTCGAAATCTGTTTTTCATCCCTGGCCTCATACATTGCAATGATTAAAACACTGCTGATGCTCCTGAGGTCTATGGTATCATACTTAGGACTCTATAACTTTTAGCGTGCTTTGGAGGTTCCTCTGGAAGTATCATTTGTGCCTAACTGAATCAGCAGATGTGCAGTCATCATTGTTTTGACAAGTCTTGGGAGGCTCTCTGCCTTACTTTGGAGATATGCCCTGAGAAAGCAACAGACCTCTTTATTCAAGTCAATAAATGGCTGCCTCATTACTCCTACCAAGAAGTCAACACTACTCATCTCTTCTTCCTATGATCCTATTTTACCTGATAACATCTATGGATGAACACCATCTCTTTGGATAAAAAGTAATTGCTTCCTCTTCAAAGCACCCAACCCCCTGTCTTCAGAAAGAGCTTCATATTTGTTTCTGAGCACCAAGTCTTCAGTGGGCCTTCTTTCCCTTTATGTATAACATTCTTCCTCTTTCCAATCTATTGACAAAGGCCAGGATTGTCCTCTGTATCTTCAGATCCTTTTTCTTCTTCAAACTGAAGCCTTTTGTCAGTTTTTAGTTCTTCCAGGTTTCTGAAGAATACTTTATTGCCCTGGATGACTCTGCAGGTGGTAAGGAATTCCTCAAGCACATTTACTTTCTTTTCTAGGACAGAGACTAATCTGCACTTTGAAATGTTTACATTCTACTTTTAAATAACACACTTTCACTTCTTGGTGACAGAAGATGTATTTTACCTTGGCTTAACGATACAAGTGCATTGTGATGGAATATAAAGTGAAATGTGAAATGAGATACTGCCAGGATTTTTAATTTGCTGGATATGTAACTGTTTTATTCGGGGTTTCATGACTTTCTTTTTGTAGGTGGCTTTGGTCTTTCCTCCTCGTGTTTCTCTTGTGTCTCTTCTTCCCTGGTATCTCTTCACCTACCCCCCAAAACTGAAACCAGTCCTCTACACAGAGAACCAAGAGGGTAAAAAAAAGTCCCTTCCTTCCATCTGCAGTAATCTTCCCTTCCCCAACCTCTTCCTTCTCCCCTCCCCCAAGCTGATGAAAAACTGCCAACTGTAGGTTTGAAAGTTTAGCTCTAAGAACGATAAACAATTTCAGTTCTAGGACAATGAACCTGTTGTTTATTTTATGAATGATATGCACTAAGCATTAATCTAACGTAAGAGAAAAAGTACTATTTATGACATCTATGCAACTTTACTAACTCCAACGTAAAGGAGTTCAAGATCCTTTTCATATTTTCATCTTTAGTGGACAGGCATGTTTTCCTGTTATTCTTTAAACAGAAAAGACAAGTCACAATTATGCAAACCACAGTGTTTCTGCTGAAGAAAGTGATAAAGAACATAGCATGTGCATGTTTTTAGCCCCCAAACATAAATTTATTTTTTGAAGCACCACCATCAAGAAGTTAAAGAAATTGTTCATTACTGACCTTTCCAAACTTGTGTTTTAGTGAAAATCCTACATTCTGAAAAGCTGTAATTATATCTGATGTATAATCTTGTATAAAAATCCCCAAATCCACATCTTTGCTGTAAGGAATAATATTGCACTGCCGATACCAGCCTAACAAAAAGAAAAAAAAAATGTAAGCAGTTGATACAATATTAACCACTGTTCTTTACTAATTTTATAATACTTGGGTTCTATAACATTTAGTATCTTGGGGCACATTACTGTCATTAAAAAAATTTTTTTTAACCTATTACTCCAAGCCAAATAGGATATAACTGACTATGTATGTGTGTGGTATAGTTGTTTCTTTTTTTTTATTTAAATTTGGCTTAAACTCTCTAGAAAGGATGTTTCATTTAAATTTTTTAATAAACTGCAAGTCTAAAAGTAAATATTACTACTAAAGTACTAATTTTAACAACATATCAAAAAGGCTTCCCTGGGTTCCTTCAAGTCTCAGCTAAAATGTCACCTTCTTTAAGAAGCCTTTCCTGATTCCCCCTATCCCTGCCACTCCCAATGCTAGTGCCTTTACTCTTTTGATTAATTCTAATTTATCCTGTATATATTTTGTTTATATGTTGTATATTGTTAGACTGCAAGCTCCTTGAGGGAAGGGGAGGGGATTGCTTTTAATTGTATCTCCAGAGTTTAGCACAGTATCTGGCAAATAGTAGGCACTTAATAAATGCTGGTTTACTTAAGAGTACTATACTGAATAGAAGAATAGTTTACTGACAGGTGAAGAAAACTATCCCTGGCTTCTTCTCAAAAATGATTTGGTAGTTTCCCTCCTTCATTCAACAGGTACCCCTTTCTAACTAAATTGTTTATAAAGTTTAGGGAGAGTGCTGACAAGACCAAATGCTGGCTAGTATAAAAAGAAAGGCAACACTGTCTTAATTTTTCAACATGATCCTTGAAAAACATTTCTGAGTCTTCATCACTACATACATGGCTCTGTGTTAGTAGTCTTATACTGGCAAAAAAAAAAAAAATCCCAACTAGCATTTGTTCATTCATACATCCACTTATTTATTTATTTATTTACTTATTCATTCATTCATTTATTTATTTATCCGTCCATCCATTTATTTATTTATTTATTTTTGGGTGAGTCGATTGGGGTTAAGTGACTTGCCCAGAGTCACACAGCTAGTGAGTGTTATGTGTCTGAGACTGGTTTTGAACTCAAGTCCTCCTGACTCCAAGGCAGGTGCTCTATCTACTGCACCACCTAGCTGCCCCCCAACAAGCCCTAAGAAAAAAGTTTTAAAACATTTACAATGTTGATATATTTTTTCCTAAAGATCTCTAACCACTGGGCTTTGAAAATTTTATCAAGAATAAAGGCAAAAAGTATGTTTAAAAAAACTGCTGGGTTCAGTTCACAAAAGGATTTATGTTGATAAGGTTGACACATTTTCCAAAAAGGAGAAATTTCCTGTCCTTTCTCTAGCTGACTTTCCTATAATGTCAAGTAAAACTAATGACCATTTTTCCTAGACTCACTGCAGCATACTCTTCATAAGATTATACTCTGTCTTTGAAATTTAGGCTTGTTTGTAATTGGAAGGTTCTCTTGCCTGAGACACAGTGTACCTGATAATTTGGCCCTAAGTATAAAGTATGCCAATCTACAGTGACTTGGTTTGTTGGTTAACTGCAGATAAGTCACTTTAATTCACTGCAAGGAAACATTTACTTAGGAAAACGAAAACCAATTTAAGCCACGAATAAGTCCCTTGCATAGAAACAGGAGTTTATAAGTATTAAGTGCCTTTAGAATCTTAATTTAAAAACACTTGCTTCCAACTGAACATTGATAGAGTGAAGACAAGGAACTGGTAATTCTTGGTTTATATGTCAAACAGTAGTACATATAAGCCTTTGGTCATTGTTCCATTGCTACTGGCCATATCATAGTATCATATAGAATTACAGTTTGGAAGAGATGTTAGAGATAATCTAATTTTTACTAAACAGATGAGGAAAAAAAGGCCCAGAGAAGTTATGTGACTTACCCAAGAAAACACTAGTAAGCCAGGATTTGAACATAGGTCCAAATCCTGTACTCCTTCTACTATGTCATGTTATGTTTAATTGCTTAATTGCCTGAAGTCAGGCAGACTCCTCTTCCTGAATTCAAATCTGGTCTCAGATACTAGCCGTGTGATCCTGGGCAAGATACTTAACCCTGTTTGCCTCAGTTTCCTCGTCTGTAAAATGAACTAGAGAAGGAAACGGCAAACCACTCCAGTAGTTTTGCCAAGAAAACCCCAAATGGAGTCATAAAGAGTCAGACAAAACTGAACAAGCTACAATGTCAAAAAAAAATTAGTGACAAGTATTTTTTAAAATGCTAATTTTTAAACAATACTACAAAGTGAAGCAGAAATATGAGATTTATGCAGAACAGAGGAGTCTAAAGCTAAAGGGAGGTTCATATATTTTCCTAAAAATTTTCAATGGGTTGGTATATGTATAGGCAATGTTTTTAATACTACTGTGACATTAAAGATTAGGATGCAGAAGGAAAATAAGTAGGACACACACCACACTAACATCAGTTCTTTATGCATTCAAATGGAGGTGGGAACTGTTGGGAAGGAGAGGGAGGGTGGAACCATTGGGAGGTGACAAATACAGAAAGGAATGGGAACAATTTTTTGGATGCTCAGAGCAAGATCAACTTTGATATCACAATCTGCCAATCTCAGACTAGTGTAAATAGAGATAGGACTCAAAAAGTACAGTTTATTAGATAGCTACCTATTTGACATTCAGATATGGATAACAGTTTTAAGGATTGTGTAAGGTTCACTTTAAAATTATGCTTTATTCTAGAAATGTAGAGAAGTCCTGCTCTTGAATGGGCAATGGATCTTTCTACTGCTTCTAATTTCTGCACAGTCTGTTCTCATTCCACAAACTTTCCTGGCTCTCCAAAAAACTCCTCAGGCTTTCCTCTTTTGCTTTCTTCTCTAGAGTCTCCAGGACAGGGCTGGGCATGGAGTAACCATAACTAACAGATACAATTAGTTTTGAAATTCCAGTTCCTTTTCTTCAGACCAGAAATCTCAGGATGTGGGCTCATAGATTCATGAGATATCTTGACCTTGAAGGGTTCCCTGAAGTTATTTTGCTTAAACATTTATTGAATGGTTTAATCTTTATCATGTCTAATGGCTCACTGATTTTTGGTTGTTTCATATATTTAATTCTAACTTATGTTTACAACAAAACGGTCTCTGACGAAAATTCATTAAAATCAAGGAAATTAAATCAAAGAATCTTCTTGAACATTAGTAAGAAAGGCAGGTACTACTTTTAAAAGTCAGGTTTTAACTGCTTTTTCTTCTGACTCTTCTTATGCATGTTTCTTTTTCTACCATGCCCATTTTACCCTGAAATAAGACCCTCCTATACAACTGGGACAATACTGTGACACTTTAAGGCAGTGTCATCCATACTATCATATCATTACTGTCCCAGAAATGGTGGGAAAGATCTTTTGTCCATCCTTCTGCCTTAGCATCATATGTAACCCTCCTTTTATCGTGAAATTTTTAGTGTAATTTAAATGAGTGAAGAAAAATTTTTATGACTATCTTCAAGGAAGCAATAATAAAATGTTAACTGAAGACTGCTATATTATCTTGGCACATGTGAATTTTTTACAAACTGCTTATACTTTTCCTATAAACACAACTACGTTTCTCTTTGCTATGGTATAAATTTTAATAATAATCCCTGGAAAAATCTAAGCAGACATAATTATTCCATGGTACTTAATAAATTGCTTATTTTTTCTCATGCTTAGAAACTAAATACTTCCAACATCTCTGAACTGCCCTAAAATTAATCTCAAAAAGCCACCTCTAGAATCAGATACCACCAATTTAAGCATGAGGTTTTTGACAGAAAAGAGCCAAATAAAAAATGCAAAGATTTTTACCAAGACAGGTTCCACTGCTGAGCCAAAATTGGACTCCCAAATCCTTTAATACTGCAGCTGCCAGGTGTAACAATATTTTTGCACTCTTCTGAAACAGCACTGCCTCCACAGAGATGTCATCATGGTACTTCTACAGATTAATAATAAATATTTAACTATTACTTTCATATTTAGAAAGAATATCACCTATCTTGTTTTTTCTTTACTTCATAACTAAAAAGAGAATGTCATACTTTATTTGTTTAATTAAAAAAATGAGTATGTGTGATGAGTAAAAGAAAGAAAGCAAGAAATTGGTTTATCTGATTTCTTCCTTGCTGACAAGAGTGATACAAGGCAGCACAGGAGTACTAGGTATCTAGAGGTGATGAGATACTGAACACTCAAGGCAAAGAGTAATAGAAAGGTAAGGCAGGAAACTGTTCTACTTCTCAAGTTTGCATAGGACCTAAATGACTCAATTCTCTGGTTCAAATCGCCTAGCTTACAGCTACCATCAACATAGAAAAATGGAGCTCTTCTCAATCAACTATAGCAAGGGAATGGGCCAGAGCATTGAACAATGTGGCAATACTTCCTGAGGAGCCAGAGTTTCTCCAAATATTCTCTAGTCCTCACCACTCTAGAACCTTTTATGGAACATGGATTGGTAGACCTCTTTTAAAAGACAAACTCATCTCTGGTTTACAGTTCTAGAACATCCTTCTGACACTAAGACACTTCTGCTTCCAAAGCACTTCATCTGGAATACACACCTAGCCCTGGAACATACAGCCAGAATCCGGGAAACCTCTTCTATCATCCCTTGATAGTGTCAGCATGGTGATGAACTGAATTGAAATAAACCGGGACTGAGCAACCAGAATTCATTTTCTAGCCATGATTTTGCTACGAACTAGCTGTACAACCTAAGGCAAGTCACTTAACATTTTTTTCTTTCTTTTTTTTTTTAATTAATTTATTTTTAGTTTTCAACATTCACTTCCACAAAATTTTGAGTTCAAAATTTTCTCCCCATTTCACCCCTCCCCCTAACCCAAGATGGCATGCATTCTGAATACCCCTTCCCCCAATCTGCCCTCCCTTCTATCACCCCCCTATCTCCTTCCCCTTCTATTTTCCTGTAGGGCAGGATAGATTTCTATACCTCATTGCCTGTGTATTTTATTTCCCAGTTGCATGTGAAAACAATTTTTAACATTTGTTTTTAAAACTTTGGGTCACAAATTTTCTCCCTTCTTCTCTCCCCACCCACCTTCATTGAGAAGGCAAGCAACTTGATATAGGTTATGCATATGCAGTCATGCAAAACACTTCCACAGTAGTCATGTTGTGAAAAACTAAATATATTTTCCTTCATCCTACCCTGCACCCCCGTTTATTCTATTCTCTCTTTTAACCCTGTCCCATCTCAGAAGTATTTGCTTCTGATTACTCCCTCCCCCAATCTGCCCTCCCTTCCATAATCTCCCCCCTCCTCCCTGCTCTCTTATCCCCTTCCTCCCTATTTTCCTGTAGGGCAAAATAGATTTCCATATCCAATTGAGTGTGTATGTTATTCCCTCCTTAAGCCAAATCCGATGAGAATAAGTTTCACTCATTTCCTCTTTCCTTCCCTCACTTCCTCTCCACTGTACGAGCTTTTTCTTGTGTGTTTTATGTGAGATAATTCACCCCATTCTACCTCTCCCTTTGTCCTTCTCCCAGTATAATCCTCTCTCACTCCTTAATTTTATTGTTTAGATATCACCCCTTCATATTCAACTTGGCCCTCTATCTATCTATCTATCCATACACACATATAATTTTTTTCCCTCAAACTACTCTAATACTGAGAAAGGTCTCATGAGTTACAAATATCATCTTTTCATGCAGGAATGTAAACAGTTCAACTTTAATAACTCCCTTATGATTTCTCTTTCCTTTTTATCTTTTTTCATGCTTCTCTTGAGTCTTGTATTTGAAGGTCAAATTTTCTGTTCAGCTCTGGTGTTTCCATCAAGAATGCTTGAAAGTCCTCTATTTCACTGAATGACTGTTTTTTCCACTGAAGGATTATACTCAGTTTTGCTGGGTAGGTAATTCTTCGTTTTAATCCTAGCTCCTTTGACCTCCAGATTTATCATATTCCAAGCCCTGTGATCCCTTAATGTAGAAGCTGCTAAACCTTGTGTTAACTTGATTGCGTTTCCACAATACTTGAACTGTTTCTTTCTAGCTGCTTGCAATATTTTCTCCTTGACCTAGGAACTCTGGAAGTTGGCTACAATATTCCTAGAAGTTTTCCTTTGGGGATCTCTTTCAGGAGGTGATCAGTGGATTCTTTCTATTTCTAGAATATCAGGGCAGTTTTCCTTGATAATTTCTTGAAAGATGATGTCTAGGCTCTTTTTTTGGTCATGGCTTTCAGGTAGTCCAATAATTTTTAAATTATCTCTCCTGGATCTATTTTCCAGGTCAGTTGCTTTTCCAGTGAGATATTTCACATTGTCTTCTATTTTTTCATTCTTTTGGTTTTGTTTTACAATTTCTTGATTTCTCATGAAGTCATTAGCTTCCATTTGCTCCATTCTAATTTTTAAGGAAGCATTTTCTTCAGTGAGCTTTTGGACTTCCTTTTCCATTTTGCCAGTTCTGCTTTTTAAGGAATTCTTCTCCTCATTGGCTTTTTCAACCTCTTTTGCCATTTGGGTTAGTCTATTTTTTAAGGTGTTATTTTCTTCAATATTTTTTGGGGTCTCCTTTACTAAGCTGTTGACTTGTTTTTCATGATTTTCTTGCATCACTCTCATTTCTCTTCCCAGTTTTCCCTCTACTTCTCTTACTTGCTTCTCAAAATCCTTTTTGAACTTTTCCATGGCCTGGGACTGATTAATATTTTTCTTGGAGGCTTTGGATGTAGGAGCTTTGACTTTGTTGTCTTCTTCTGGTTGTATGTTTTGATCTTCTTTGTCACCAAAGTAAGATTCCATGGTCTGACTTTTTTTGTGCAGTTTGCTCATGATCCCACAGTCAATTACTTGACTTTTAAACTCTTTGTTAAGGTAGGAGTTTGCTTCCAGTGTGGAGGATGTACTGTCCCAAGCTTCAGGGGTTTTGTGCACCTGTTTTCAGAGATACTTGTAGGGACCAGTAAATTTTCAGTTCTTCCAAGGTGGTCTGATCAGAGGCGAGGTATTTACTCCTTTCTTGGCCTGTGCTGTGGTCTGTGAGTGGCCACAAGCACTCTTTTTTGCCTTGGAACTGTGAGGAGAATCCCCTCTGCACTGCCGCCACAAGCTCCACCATGGCAGCTCTCCTTCTCACACCAGGATTATCACCCAGAACTTTGCCGCAGATCCAACCATGGGCAAAGCAAGAGAATCCTGCCTCACCAGCAAAGAGATCCCTGCAGTCCCCCTCTGATCAGCCATTTGATCCTTAATTAATTGTGGGCTGAAAGCTCTGGAAGCAACTGCCACCCCAGGGCTGCGCCAGGACTGGAGCCGGACTGTGCTCTTCTCCTACCCAGGTCTGATGGACATTTTTTACTGACCATCTGTAAGTTGTCTTTGGTGTTTGTGGGTTGAGAAGTCTGGAAATCGCCACAGTTCCCTGTGATTCAATCCCCTGAGGACTGCTCCAGGCTTGCTGGGGCCCTGTTTTTGCCTATGTGGCCCATGCTGAACTGCCCTCCTCTCCCATCCCAGCGCAATAAACTTTTCCAATCAATCATCCAGGTTGTCATGGGATGGAAATTTGTTTCACTCTGTCTTTTTGTGGGTTCTGCTGCTCTAGAATTTGTTTAGAGCCATTTTTACAGGTATTTGGAGAGGTTTGGGGAAGAGCTCAAGCAAGTCACTGCTTTTACTCTATCATCTTGGCTCCAACCCCCACTTAACATTTTTTCGCTCCAATTTCCTGCCTACATGCTGCTCTGAGCTACTGTGAGAATAACATGAAATCACCAGCTCGACAAAGTTAAAAGTGCTAGGATCTGATCCAACCATTTTGGAGAGCGATTTGGAATTATGCCCCAAGAGTTATTAAACTGCTTATATACCCTTTGACCCAGCAATATCACTATTAGATCTGTTTCTCAAGATGATTAGAGAAAAAGGAAAAGAACCTATTATGTTCTAAAATATTTATAGCAGCCCTCTTTGTGGTGGCAAAGAAATGGAAATTGTGGGGATGCCCATCAAATGGGGAATGGCTAAACAAGTTGTGGTATGTGTTCGTGATGGAAAAATACTCTACTATAAGAAATGATGAGTTTGATGACTTTAGAAAAGCATGGAAAGACCTGCACAAAATAATGAAGAGTGAAATAAACAGAACCAACACATTATATACAGTAACAGCAGTACTGTTTTAAGAACAACTTTGAGCTACCAAGTCATTCTGACTATTATAAATACTCAAATTAACTGCAAAGATCCCATGAAGGAAGATGCTGTTTACATCCAGAAAAAGCCACATATTTGTGTCTAATGGTAGCCATCTCTAGGGTGGGTGGAGGGAAAAAAAAGGAAGTTACTTTGTTGTATATTTGAAAGCAATAGCAAATCATACATAATGGATCTGCAGTTTCAGGTGCAATCCTGTTTTTCTATTCTACTTTTTTTATTAGAAAAAAGTTAAAAGTGATATATAAGCTTAAAGTATTATCATCATAATTATTGATATCATTTTCCTCAACCCACTGAACCATCCCCTAAGCCTGATCCAACCCCATCTCTAGACTAAACATCTTTCACTTCAGGATATTTTCTGAAATTCTTTTCTTAGAGCTGCTGCTCGGTAAATTTCTGGTACTTATGTTTCGATTAAGTCTTATTTATTCCTTAAATCAAGTACGATGGTCTTTGAAATACTGTGATTATAAATCCCAAGTGAGGTAACATCTCTTTAAGAAAATTTCATATTTGGCCAAAAGAACTTGGACCAGAAAAGTAAAAAAACATTGAATCCCTCCTAAAAATCACGCAGTCTTAGAGTTAACATTCCAGTCAAACTGAGCTACTAAATGTTCTCTGAGCTCAGCATTTCACCTCCTGCCACTATTCATTCATTTGTACAAGACAGCAATCTATCAACAATCACTTATTAAGCATCACTATACTAGATAGTGGGGATATAAAAACAAAG